CCAATCATCATGACTTCATTGACTTTGCCTGACTGTATTACTTTATAACACGACGCACACACCAACAGCCCCTCCAAGGACGGCTTCCCTCCCTAGCTGCCGGCTCTTAACAATGCTGTTGGTTTGTGCTGAAATTCATCTTGTGGCATGATGTGTGCATTTAAAAATCATTCTTAGTGGGCTGCATCTTAGCCTTTCTTTTCTTTTCTTTTTTAATGTGATTGCCATGCTAGGAATCTTTCCTGCACCCAGGAAGAATTGATGGATGGAGGGAGGACCACTCAGATGCGGGGATGGGGTTTATAAGAGGGTGTTTGTTGATGAGCTGTGGGGGGAGGGGATGCAGTGAAAGCCTAATTGTTGGTTATAAATATGCTGTATTTTCCCTATTGATTATGTGACGCTCAAGTGAAAAGGATTACCTTATTAGATCATATTTAGCCATAAGTGTGCCCTGTGTGCTACAACTCGGGGCCACTTGCGAGAGACTAACCAATTATTCCAGATGAAGAGAGAGGTCTGTTCGGTGCCCCAGACGGTCCGAGCGCGCCCCGTTCCTATGCAGATGTGGCTGGACGCCTCACTGCCCTTCATGCACTTCATAGAGATTCTCTGTTCCGAGCAGCCTCCCGTGGCTGTGCGGAGACCCCCCGTGCATCCTCTCCACAAATTAGGAGATGAGAATCAATAGGACTTCTGTTTGAGGGTTTGGATGGCCAGCTCGTCCTTTTCCATAAGCTTTTGGGGGCAGGGTCTGGAATTGCGTGGTAACCAACGGAGGCTGACACTTCTTAAAATAAAGTGTCCGACGATACAACCTCTGCTCCCTGCGCTCCCAGGAAGTGGATGGGGGCGGGGGCCACAGCACCACAGAGCCTTGCGCTTGGTCTCCTCGGTGCCTTGTTGAAAAGAAACGGTTCTGCTCTTCCCTGCCTTCCTAGAACTGTGCGTACCAAACACTATTCCTCCTGCCCTGAAGAGCGAGGTCAGCCTCCCCTGCCTTCTGGGGCGCAGCCGGCCCACGGATCACGGGGGTCCTCGGCCCTGGTCTCATTCCGGGAACAGGCTCTAGAGCCGGGCCGACGTGGCCTCCTCTTTCTGTGGGGCTGGAGGGGTGACCCGAGCCCTTTGGACCCCAGCCCTCCTCTGAGAAGTGCCCTTGGTGGAGGGCCAGGGGCAGAACTCAGAGAGGAAATGCAGGGTCATTTTGGGAGGGTGCCAGGGAACAGGACTCCGGGCATAGCTCTGTATCATCAGCACCCCAACTTTTTTAAAAAATATTTTTTAAAATTAATTTATTTTATTTGTATTTATTTTTGGCTGTGTTGGGTCTTCATTGCTGCACGCGGGCTTTCTCTAGTTGCAGCGAGGGGGGCTACTCTTCATTGCGGTGTGCAGGCTTCATTGCGGTGGCTTCTCTTGTTGCGGAGCACAGGGTCTAGGCGCACGGGCTTCAGTAGTTGTGGCATGCAGGCTCAGTCCTTGTGGCACACAGACTTAGTTGCTCCGCGGCATGTGGGATCTTCCTGGACCAGGGCTCGAACTTGTGTCCCCTGCATTGGCAGGCGGATTCTTAACCATTGCACCACCACGGAAGCCCAGCACCCCAACTCCTTGCACTAGAGACGTTTGGCAGGCACTTTGGCTCCCTACCTGCTTGGACAGTGACTGGGGCCTCCTTTCATTTGCTGTTTAAGTCCTCTTTGTTCCAGGCTGAGGCATGGAACGCTTGACCAGCTGGAGGGAAGGGTAGTGCATGCCCCCTCCCTCCATGCACCTGTGGTTGCTACCTGGACTCCTACCACTTGGGGTGGGACCTCCCCTACTTCACGCATCTCAGGTGTGACCTGGCAAGATGGACTGTTCCAGCCAAGGGGAGACCCTGAGATGGGATCTCCATCAGGTCCCGCCGTTCCTGCTCTGTGTGACCTCAGACAAGTGATTCTGCCTCTCTGAGCTTCAGGATCCTCATCTGGAAAACAGAACACCACCCTTAAGTCACAAGGTTGAGCTGAAAGAGTCAGGATCACAAGTTGCAAACTCCCAGCCCTTTGGAAGAGGCTCCAGAAGGGGAGCGATTAATCTCCCCCACTCACACAGTCAAGGTGCTACCAGACTTCGATTTTGGCTCAGTTGTTTAATTTTCACTTCTGCTAACAGCCTGTCTTTAATGTCACCTCTGTCCTTACTCATTCCTGGCTTTCCGAGCTGCCACGGAAACCTCTCTAGGCAAAACAGCAAAAGAGAATGATAAGTCGGAGCCAGGTTCATCTCGGTAATATATAATTTGGCCACCAAGGCAATACTTAATGTAATGTTCCCTGGGAAGAGAAGGGGATGCTAGGCTTACGGGGGGTGGTGCCCGCCACGTACCAGGCCCGGCCAGGCACTCCATCTCGTCCCGTCCTCCCTGGCGCTCGGATCCCAGAGGTTTGCGCGGCTCTGACATCCCCATTTGTCTTTGCCCACTAATCATGGGCCATTATTTCATCCCTATCTTCAGACAAGGCACCACTCGACCATCACATTTCCTTAGTGCTCCGAGCCACTCTGCCGGGTCCACGGGCCGCAGGAAGACCATCGATCCCCCGGCGAGCTGGGCCGGTGGGCGCATTCTGTTTCCTTGCCACACCTTGGGGGAGGCAGAAATGATGCCGGGGCACTGGGTGGTGTGGACCCCAGAAGTGACTCAGGCTGCAAGGTTGCCTAGGAAAGACTTCAGCTGAAAGACCCCAGGCAGGCCCCCAAGCTTCAGTTTCCCCATCTGTAAAAGATATGGATGGACCAGACGGCCCTTCCAGCACCTTCATTCTTCTTTGCGAGCCCTCGAGGCCGACTGCCAGGCTTCCCCCCACCTCCACTACGGAGGGGTGGCCGGCCACAGGCTCTCTTGGGCCCAGAGGTCCTGGCCCTCAGGCAGCTGCGCTTCTCACCTTGCCTCTTGCACGCACTGTCAACAGGCCAGGCACAGGGGGCGCAGAAGGAGGGCCGGCCTGTGGCGCGAGGCCCGGGACTCTCCTACCTGCCCTGTCCCCTCCCCGTGCCCACCCCGCCACGACTCTTCCGTTCCCAGAGTCAGCGGCAGCTTCCCCAGCCTCCTGCCACCACCTCCAGTCCCAGCGTGTCTGTGTCCCTGCACGTGGCTGTCTGTCCCTTTGGAATCTCATCCGCAGGGTCTCCCGAGTGCTCACCCCCAGCACAGTGCCTGGCACGGAGCTGGCCCGCCATCGGTGTTTGTTGAATGAATAAATGGACGTAGTGTGGCTCTTAGATGAGTCCTTCACACCCCTCCCACCCAGGCCTCAACTGTCTCATCCTTGAAATGGTCAAGATTGCCCTAGATGGCTTTTCCCGGACCACAGTGTTGCGACGGTTCCTTCGACAGCTCTCCTTAGAGAGAGGAAGGCAGATGCTGGGGAGATGGGCACTCCGTCCCTGCCTTTGCCCAGGGCCCTCCCGTCTGGCTGGGGAGAGGCGCCAGCTGGGAACAGAGCTCACCTCCGTGCAGTTTAAAGAGTAGGCGGAGGGCGCGACCCACGTCAGTTGGTACATCACCTTGCAGGCCAGCACCGCACACACCCAGACGGTGGAAACGCGGGACGCAAAGGGGCGTAATTGGAATAGGGCAAGGACACCACCCAGAGGACGTAAAACACGGAATTCATCAGAGAAACCTACAAGGAAAGCGCTGAAGTCTGCGGGCGCCTTGGCCTGCCTGTGATCAGAGCAGTTCAAATTAGGGGAAAATGGGAGTTAATAATACACCCACTGGACCTTCCATAAGAGGTCAACACTGTGCAGAAGAAAGAAGGGTCTCAGAAGCTGACGGCCTTGGTCCTCCTGAAAGCCACTGACCTCCTGTGGGGTGAGCCGGGCGACCACGGGGGCCACAGGCTTAACGATGTCTATTTCCAGAACGCGCCACACGAACCCTTGAGTTCCATTAACCATTTCTAGAAGCTTCGGAAAGCCAGCGGTCAGCTCGTCAACTGCTGAGTCCCAATCACTCGTTTCCTCCTCTGAGGGGAAGAGAAAGGCTTTGGCCGGATGCCCCTGGTGATTCCGCGGGGTCTGGCTTTGTTGTTGAAAACAATGGGAAGACGTCTGCATCTCAGAGGAAGCCAGAACAAAGCAGAGAAAACTAGGAAGACGCTGCAGTTTTTTTCTAAAGAATGCAGTTTTCCAGTAATACTGAGGGTCTCTGGCCAGGTCCCTCGTCCCTCTCCCCACGCTGGGCTTTCCCTCCTCTCTGCTGCCGGAGTTGTCTCTGTGGCCCTCTGTCCATATCCCCGACGCCTGTAAATGGTCCTGTTTCCCCCTCTGCACCAGGGCTGGCAAACTGTTTCTAGAAAGAGCCTCACTAAGTATTTCAGCTTCGCAGGTCATGTCGTCTCTGCCACATACTCTACTCTTGCAGCACAAAAGCGCCCACAGGCAGTGCATAGATGCGTGTGGCCTTATCTGCAAAAACAGGACAGTTGGCTTTGGCCCTGAGGCCATGCTTTGCTGACCCTGAGTCAGACTGTGGGTTCCTTGAGGGGAGGGGCGCCAGTTCTTTCCCTCTGTCCCTTCAATGCTCAGCGCCTTGCCTGGCACATAAAAGGTCCCCACTAAATGCTCAACTGTGAGGCGTGAATGAATAAAAAACAAACTAACTGCCCAAGGGGAGTTTAATTCTAACCACCACCCAAGAGAGGGCTTTCTACATTTGCCGATCGTTCTTGATTATTTGTGAAAGAGTGTAATTTGGTAAAGTGAAAGACACTAGCATGTGTTGAGCTCTCAGAATGTCAGGTGCCATGCTAAGCGCCCCCCACCTGACCGCCGTTTCTTAGTTCTATCCAAACCACAAGCTGAATCAAAAGCAGGCACGGTCCCCAATCACTTGTAAGCAGTTGGTTCCCCAAGTAAGCGAAACAGACTCGGGGGACCTCGGTCACTTGTAACTCTCACACTGTGGTTTTGTTTTGTTTTGTTTTGTTTTACATCTTTATTGGAGTATAATTGCTTTACAATGGTGTGTTCGTTTCTGCTTTATAACAGCGTGAATCAGTCATACATATACATGTGTTCGTGAAAGTAAAGTGGCAGCCATCAGCCCAGCTGCTGTCAGAATTTGCAGGTCCACCTGATGTGAACCGGCTCCCCCTTGGGCACGGGAATGAAATCGGGCAGGAGCAAGCAGGCGGATGGCAGGGGGGTGACATCCCAGCCCCCCACGCCTGGGACACTTGGCTTGGTCCCCAAAATGAAAAGTGAAGACAGCATGCTGAGGCTGTGTTGAATCAGGGAACCAGGTCGACAGTCTGGGTGGATTATTGTTTTAATGAATCAGTCGTTTGCCTGGATGGCCCAGGATTCTTGGCAACCCTGGAGAGCAGCCCTGAGCAGCGACAGGCAGGGCTTCTTGGGAAGCGGTATCTCCAACGTGCTGACGCCTTCCTCCCCAGCCTTCCAGATTTCTCCGCTTTCCAGTTGGAACTGCTGGCTTTGTTGGCAAAGTTCTGAGCTGTCTCCTCTTCCCCGCCTGGTCGCAGTCTGAAAAGCAAAGGCGGGGTACTCCAAGGCACGCAAACAGAGGAGAATGAGTACCAACTCGTGAGCCTGTTTTATCAAAGCCTGTAAGTGAAATGGATCCATGCCACAAGGAGACACGGGTAGGGGACAGAATCAAGGACTTGGCCGTTACGAAAAAAGTTGTGTTTGACCTGTACTGTTGGGAATCACGTTTACGCTTTTCTCGAGGCACAGTTGACACCAGAAATCAATTTCTGGAGAAGAACGCATTTCCTCTCACTCTTTAGTTCTTACCTCTCCTGAAGTTTCCAAGGTATATAACCTTAAGCCTGAAAGAGACACAGAGAGAGAGACAGAGGGAGAGAGGGAGGGAGAGAGAGAGAGTTCTCTGTTTATAAAAGGATTCCTTTCTCACTGGATTTATTTAAACAGCAAACTCTCTAATAAATTTTTAATAGGTTACTCATTTATTGTATTCACTGGACAAAGCACGCACATAGTTAAAAATAATTCAAAGGGCACAAAAGGGTACACGGTGAAAAGTAACTCTCCTTCCCACCTCTGTCTGCCTCCCCCAGGCAAGCACCAGGACAGATTTCTTCTGCATTCTTCCAAAGGTATGCTTTGTATGTATAAGCACGTGTGCAGGTCTCTTTTCCTTGGACAAATGATAGCACGTTCTACATATAGTGTTCTGCCCCTTGCTTTCACCACTTGGCCATCTATCTTGAAGCCTACTTCAGATCAGCACACGTGGGGCTGCCCCCGTGGCCCTCCTTATCAGTGGCAGAGTCTCAGAGCATCCCGAGAGGCGGAGACACACCATCATTTGCTGAGTCAGTCCCCTAGGGACGGGCATTCATTCTCTGCTGGAGTCTTTTTTAAAGATTGAGATCAACACCCGGGGTGGTTGGCTGGTGCACCCGAAGTGGGGCGCTCCCTCGGGAGAGCACGCCTCGCAGGAGGAATTGTAAAGAGGCCCTCACACGGCTGGCAGAAGATGCATGTCGGTTTCCTTCCTGTTGCTGGGGGAGACAGATCACAGGGTGCTTATGCTGGAAGCACAGCGGGGGCTGTTGCTCGTATCATGTTACCATGGCAACCCAGTCCCCAAACATCGTCAGCCGCCTCCGAAAGCCTTCACCCCGTCACACCATCCCAGTTGACCCAGGGGGGCCCAGGTGGTCTCAAAAGAGAACGTTTCTCCCCAAGTTTTCTCCTCCCTCCACAGCAGGCATCCATTCGATATTATACATAATTTCAGGGATGGGGGGCATGGAGGGAAAAGAGCGCGCTGCTCCCGGCTGGGGCCTCCCAGCCTCTCCCCCCCGCCCCGGGGACCAACAGGCTCCCAGCACCCTACCTGCTCCTTTAAAGCTTTCACATCCCACCCCGGATACGAACAAAGTCGAGTAAAAACCAAAAACAAACCACGTGATGTTGACAAAAAAGAATATTTTACAACCCCTGGGGAAAAAAAGAATCAAGCCGTGGTATTTTGTGCACTTTTTCGCGAAACGTGTTAGGAGCGTGGCGGAGTTTGATCCGAAAAACAGATTCGGGCCTTGAGAAGGCCACAGCCTCCTGCCTAATTTTTCTTAGGAAGAAGGTGAAGTCCTCTGGTGATGCACCACCTTTTAAAATAAGAATTCTGGGGCTTCCCTGGCGGCGCAGTGGTTGAGAGTCCGCCTGCCGATGCAGGGGACGCGGGTTCGTGCCCCGGTCTGGGAAGATCCCACATGGCGCGGAGCGGCTGGGCCCGTGAGCCGTGGCCGCTGAGCCTCTGCGTCCGGAGCCTGTGCTCCGCAATGGGAGAGGCCACAACGGTGAGAGGCCCGCGTACCGCAAAATAAATAAATAAATAAAATAAGAATTCTGTAAAATATTCTATCCTATTAGTGACTCGGTCTAAAAATTAGGAAACCTTTAAAAGCCAAGTTTCACAGCCAATGTCTTAATTTAGTTAGAGGACAGAACGGTAAAAACGAAGATAGAACGGACCTTCAGGCCTGCAGAACATCCGATGAGCAGACTGCACCGCCCTGGAGCAGCTCTCTGACTCTCGCGAGAGTCTCAGCAGAAACAAAGCGCCACACTTCTGCCCCGGAGGCCCCTGGCGGGCCCGTCCCGTGCGCGGACCTTCCAGAGACACGCGGGGTCCAACTTTCCCCACCAGCGTCAAAAGAGCACCTACAGATGGACGACTCAGCGCAGGGAAAGCAGACCTCCTCCCGCCCCCTGCGCAGAGCCCAGCTCTGAGCCATTAGCAGAATCTCCAAAAGCCGCCCCAGGAACAGCAGTACCTGTCAGATGTGCCCTTCCATTTAACGGGGCTATTATACAGGCTGGTGGGCTTCAGAAAGTCTTCATTAAAGTAATGACATTGAAGGATGCATGCCAGCAGGAGGGCAGCAGGCAGCAGGATCTCAGCAAACAGCTCAGCCGCGTGGAATGGCTCCAGGCCCACATCGTGTAACCTGGAACGGATTAGAGGGGAGAGAGCCCCGAAGGTCGAGAGGCAGCCCTGCCCTAGGTCCTGCCTGACAAAGACGCCTTTCTTGAGAAGCCCCAGCTGCCCTTTCTCTTGATAAGCAAGTGGTATCGACAGGGAGGCACCCGGGAGAGCGTTTATGATGGCTATGCACACAACCCCACATACAGTCCTTGTGATAGTGTGACTCTGGGTGGGGGGGAGAAGCAACAAGGCAAAACTTCTCCTGGATTATGAGAAACTAGTAACCCAGGCGATCCAGAGAACTTTATCGGCAGGGCCTGGCCTATCCACAGAATCTTCACCTGATCTAGGAAGGAGACTTCCCAGGGCCCTGGGACAAAATTAGTCATGAACTGCCTCCCAAACGCTGGTTGAATCTGTGACCGAGGGGAGGCTCTGTGGACAAAGAATTCTGCCTGCTGCACCAGGAAACAAAGGATATTGGGGCCATCAAGCTGACAGTCACTGCAGCCCCCCGTCCCCGCTCCCACCCTGACGGTGCGCCCTGAGGGGATTCAGGATGGAGAAAACAGGATACTGGCCCTAGATAGTTCTGCCAGCACACTCCCAGGTGTAGGTGGGGCAGCTCTGGGCCACGGGGGTTCTTTGGCAGGTGGGCTCAGGTGACCAGCGGAAGCCCAGTGCTCTCAGGGGACCATCTAGCACGTGTGCTCTTGGCGGAAACTCAGACCCCCGGCTAAAACTCAGACTGCGAGCTGAGCGTGGGGTCTGTCTGAGTCTCGTGAGACCCCAAGGTGGGGCTGGGGACACCTGGGGTTTCAAGTCCACAGGCCTGGGACCCCGACAGAGCAGGGGTGAGCTAGCAGCAAAGTCTTGATGGGTCCCCTCTCCCTGGACTCGGAGCTCTGACCTGGAATCTCGGAGCTGGAAGAGGCATCTCCCCAGACCTGGAGGAGCTTTACAGAGATGCCCAGAGAGCACAGAACCAACTAGAAAAACGCTCTCCCTGCACATCAGCCCAAGGTCTGAGACGTCGCACCTGCTCAGGCTCCCACGGGGCCTTCCTAATAGCCCCTTTGGGGACTGACTGTTCTATCTCCTCTGCAAGTTCCCACCCAGGAAACCGTGAGGCTGCTTTCCATCTGATACCACATCCCCACTGCTGATCCCAGAAGCCATGAATCCTGGCAGAACTGGGCCCTTTTAGCAAATCAAACTGCAGGAGTGACCACCCACCAGCCTCAGGATCCAGATTCTTACCGTTCTTCAGGGTTTCCTTGAAAAATCCAGCAACAACTTGAAACTGGAAAGTGTAGACGGCAGTAAGGACCACCATGGAATAAGAGACCACGACCATCCCGAAGTACTTCAGGATCCTTCTCCATGAGTTATAGTGTATCTGCGATCTAGACACAGTTCCTGATGAATGGCGCCATGGGGATTAGAGAGACAGACAGGGCGGGGGCGGCCGAAACCAGAAGCGCCAAGGGGCAGCTGGCAAGGAACAACTCCCCGTGCAAAGTCATTTTTTCCAGCAGAAATCCTTGCTGGCTGGAGCCCAAGCTCGTTCACATACGAGGGTCTAGGCAAGTTTTAATGAGACACCGAAGTTAAGTCAGGGGGTGCAGGCCTTTCGTTAAGTTTCCTGCAGAAAAGCAAAGAAAAGGGGTCCTCCCGGAGAGGTGGGAAGCTGTTGCACTGGGAGTTTTGTCTGTCTCTTGAGCGATCTGGGAGGTATTGGAAATCGATCTCTCCCCCTGTCCGAGTCTCCCGTCCACACACTCTCTCCACCTGTGTGTCGGAACCGCTCGCGTATCTAGAGCAAAGGTTGACGCGTCCAGCTGCGTGGCCTCACTGATGAATGTAATGGGTGCCCAGGCCAGAGTCCTAGCTGAGCGACAGCGGGTGTGAAGCCTGTGAGCATCGCAGCCAGATGATGGCGACAGCGCTGGCCAGAGGCAATCCCGCACGGCAGGGCCACCAGGCGGGTCCCGGAGTCAGAAGGCAGGAGGTGGGGCCAGCCTGGGGCGGGGCCGGGGGATGGGGACATGGGACAGGGGCTGGGGGCTTGGGGTCCCACCGGGGTCCACCTGGTCCCAGGCCACCCAGGACAGGAAGAGGAGGACGTAGACGACCTTGTATGACACCACTTTGCCGGCGAAGCTGAGGGCGAATAACATGCTGGCGCAGATGCAGATCGGGTAGTTGACTCGGAGATCCTTGAGGATGGAGCCCAGAATGCCCACCAGGACGCTGCAGGGCCCTGTGTAGGCGAGAGGCGCGGGGCGGGCAGCCAGGGCCAGGCCCCCCAGTTCTGGCTCTCTTGCCCTCTCCTCGTTCCTCCCCAGCTCCTAACGACGGTGCTGATTTCTGGGGCAGCAGCCACAGTGTCCGCTTCTTTGGGGTTTCTCCACTGTTCCCTTCCGACAGGAGCTGGCACAGCCTGCAGGCCAAACTCCTCTGGGAGGGAGGAGCAAGGGGGCTACAGGCATCAGAGGCCAGCTGGAGACGCCCTGCTACCTTCCAGCCCTGCCCAGCCGCTGGGGAGGTATGGGCCCAGGGCTGGGATCCTGGACCCTTGAACCATGAGGGGTCAGAGAGCTTCTTCCAAAGACGCCTACCACCCAGGGCGATGGCTCTTCTCAGGATGGGGGCTGTGACTCATACCCTCCCTGGGGCCAGAGAGTTCTAGAGCCAAATCCTTGAAGGTCAAAGCCCAACATGGAAGAGCCCTCGCCTGACGCCGGGCAGCCCCCTGGACGATGGGCTGTCCTTGCACCCTGCTCTGCATCTCTGGGTGTGACCCAGGTCATCTGGGACCACTAGCTGTGTGTCCTTTGAGAGTTAATGGTGGGCCAGCTGAAAGCAGGCCAGGAGCAAGGGCCTGGGGGCTCCCTCACTTTGCCCTAAGATTCTGGGATTCCCGGGGGAAAATGGTTAACTTCAAAATATGCACATAAATGTCCTGCAAAGGGGCAGGAGGCCGGCCGTCCAGGGTCCTCACCGCTAGCTTCCCCAGGGTCCTCCCTCCAGGCTTCTTCCTTGGCCTCTGCTGACCTCCACCTCTCCAAGACCTGCAGCCTCAGCGACAGCCCGAATACCGATGCACAGAGACTCTGCAGCGGAAACAAGGCTACCTTGATGGCTCACCCGCGGCCTCCCCAGGAAACGACCGCGACTTTCCACCCTGGCCACAGGGGCTAGGACTGGAAACGGGCTTCTGTTTCTTTCAGAGCCCTGTTGTCTGGGGTGAATGAGCCACAGCGGCTGGGTGGAAGGGGGCAGCGGGGGACGGCTGGGACGTGGCCCTCTGCGGCCTGGTGCCCCTGGGCTCACATCACCCGCATCCTTTGGAGATAACGGGGGTCGGAGTGGAGGCGCTCATGCTGCCCACACCCCGCACCTTGCAGAGGAGGACTTTGAAGCCTGGAGTGAAGACAAAGACGCACAGGGTCCCCCAGAGCTGGGGCTGAACCGAGGCCCCCAGGTTCAGCAAGCCCCAGGCCCTGCCTGGGAGGCCCCCGTGTCCCACCGTCCCTAGCCCTGTGCTGCGATCTTTTCTGAAATGGAAAATCCCCAGGCCCCATCCCCACCCCAGAGCCCTACCTTTGCACCCAGGTGGAGACACGGCTGCAGGTAGGGTTTGAGGTCCAGGTCGGTGAGGAGCCAGCCCGGGACCCCTGGAAACAGCTCCTCCTGGGACGCTCGGAGGCCCAGCACGAAGCTCAAGAGGACCAGGGGGCTGGTGTAGCCGACCAGGAAGGGTGAGCTTCGCAGGGCCAGGTGGTGGTGGCTCCGGGACCTCCAGGTGACACAGGCCCAGAGCAGCAGCACGAAGCCCAGCCAGCTGGTGTAGGAGAGGCTCCACGCCTGCGGGGAAGCAGCGCAGGGGCCAGCCCCTGTCAGAGCACAGCAGTTCAGAGCCTTCTTAAAACTTCATTTCCTGGGCTTCCCTGGTGGCGCAGTGGTTGAGAGTCCGCCTGCCGATGCAGGGGACATGGGTTTGTGCCCCAGTCCAGGAAGATCCCACATGCCGCGGAGCAGCTGGGCCCGTGAGCCATGGCCGCTGAGCCTGCGCGTCCGGAGCCTGTGCTCTGCAACGGGAGAGGCCACAGCAATGAGAGGCCCACATACTGCAAAACAAACAAACGAAAACAAAAAAAACCCCTGCATTTCCAAATCCAGCGGCCCCCACCAAGAGCCCCCATTATTAGAGCCACCAAGCAGGGCTTCCCCTACTTGGCATACACTGATTTGGTCCTTCTCTCAAATCCACAGTAAAAACTTGGATGAATGCATTTTTTCAACAGCCAAAGCTCCCTCCTGAGCAGGGTTCCCAGTTCCTCTCCCAGTCTCAGAGCCACCATCGGGAGTCACATTCCCGCACGAGAGGGTGGGCAGGGCCACCCAGCCCCCTTCGAAGACCCTCCATGACCAGTGAGACTTGCTTCTTACAAGAGGTCTTTCCTTCGTTTGTAATGGTGATGAAAGCTTGGCTGTTCCAGCAACAAGGACAAGCAGAAGAAGCATTTTACCACACAAAGGCCTCTGTGAAAAGGACACATGGGCCTCCATCCCAACTCTTCCTGTCCTCAGGCCCTGCTCAGGATACCCCCAGCTCGCATGGGATCTTTCATCATGGATGCCAAGGGCCTTCCACCTCTCTGAGCTGCATTCCAAGTGCCAGGGCCCAAGAATATACAATGGAGAAAAGATAGTCTCTTCAGCAAGTGGTGTTGGGAAAGCTGGACAGCCTCCCGTAAATCAGTGAAATTAGAACACTCCCTCACACCATACAGAAAAACTCACAATGGTTTAAAGACCTAAATACAAGGCATGACACCATAAAACTCCTAGAAGAAACAGAGGCAAAAACATTTTCAGACATAAATCGTAGCAATATTTTCTTAGATCAGTCTCCCAAGGCAAAAGAAATAAAAGAAAAATAAATAAATGGGACCTAATCAAACTTAAAAGCTTTTGCACAGCAAAGGAAACCATCAATAAAATGAAAAGACAACCTACGGAATGGGAGAAAATATTTGCAAATGATGCAACCAACAGGGCTTAATTTCCAAAATATACAAACAGTTCCTACAACTCAATATCAAAAAAAAAAAAACCTCAATCAAAAAATGGGCAGAAAACCTAAGTAGACATTTCTCCAAAGAAGACATACTGATGGCTGATGGCTAATAGGCACATGAAAAGATGCTCAGCATCACTAATTATTAGAGAAATGCAAGTCAAAACTACAATGAGTTATCACCTCACACCAATCAGAGTGGCCATCAACAAAAAGTCTGCAAATAGGGCTTTCCTGGTGGCGCAGTGGTTAAGAGTCCGCCTGCCAATGCAGGGGACACTGGTTCGTGCCCTGGTCCGAGAAGGTCCCACATGCCGCGGAGCGGCTGGGCCCGTGAGCCATGGCCGCTGAGCCTCTGAGTCCGGAGCCTGTGCTCCGCAATGGGAGAGGCCACAACAGTGAGAGGCCCGCGTACCGCAAAAAAAAAAAACAAAAAAAAAAGTCTGCAAATAACAAATGCTGGAGAGGGCGTGGAGAAATGGAAACCCTCCTACATGGTTAGTGGAAAGGTAAGTTGGTGCAGCCACTATGGAAAACAGTATGGAGTTTCCTTAAAAAACTAAAAATAGAACTACCATTTGATCCAGCAATCCCACTCCTGGGCATATATCTGGAAAAGTCAAAAATTCTAATTCGAAAAGATACATGCATCCCAATGTTCATAGCAGCTATGAAATATTTACAATAACCAAGACATGGAAACAACCTAAATGTCCATCAACAGATGAATGGATAAAGAAGATGTGGTGTATATATATGTGTATACACACACACACACACACACACACACACACACATACACACACACAATGGAATACTACTCAGGCATAAAAAAAAAGAAATAATGCCATTTGCAGCAAAATGGATAGACTTAGAGATTATCGTACTAAGTGAAGTAAGTCAGACAAAGACAAATACCATATGAGATCACTTATATGTGGAATTTAAAAAAATGATACAAATGAATCTATATACAAGACAGAAACAGACTCACAGATATAGAAAACAAACTTACGGTTACCTAAGGGGAAAGGGAAGTAGGGGAGGAATAAATTAGGAGTTTGGGATTAACAGATTCAAACTACTATATATAGAATAGATAAGCAACAAGGATTCACTGTGTAACACAGGGAACAATATTCAATATCTTATAATAACCTATAATGGAAAATAATCTGAAATATATATATATAAATATATAACTGAATCACTTCGCTGTACACCTGAAACTAACACAATATTATAAATCAGCTATACTTCATTTAAAAAAAAAATTTCCAAGTGGCGGGACTAAAAATGCGTTTTATCTAAGCCTGAAGCCTGGCCATCCCCAAGGGCCATGTGATCAGGCAAAACCTAGGTGGACTCTGGCCACCCAGAGTACCTGGCCCACCCATCAAAGTACCTAGGATCCACCTCCATGAGGAGAAGCTGGGAGTCGGCTGGGATGCAAATTAATATAGATTCACTGGGTGGTTTTTTTCCTCAGCCTCGGTAAGCAGAGTCTAAGCGAGGCTTCACTGCCAAACCCTCTCTCCTCTCTGCAAAAGACAAAGCCCAAGTCCATGTGCCAGCACTGGGCACACAACAGAAAGAGCCCACACCTTCCCCTGCAGTCGTCCCCATGCTGTGCGGTCCACCCAGGCCTCTGCTGCTGTCTCAGGGGCCGCAAGCATCCCAGGTGGCCTCAGGGTTACAAGGTGCTCCAAACATCCAAGTCTCCTTTAGGACCCCGTATGCTTTCTGTACCCACGCATGTAGCTAAAGACCTCAAAGACAGGCTCCTATTTCTTGGCAGCTGGGCCTCTCCCGAGGGAGTGTCCCCCACTGGGCCACCCTCCCCAAGGCGGCAGCCCTCCCAGGACTCACCATCATGGTGATCAGCGCGGGGAAGTAGCTGTGCCTCACGGCGAGGTGGCCCAAGACCGAGGAGCTGCTCAGCCCTCACTCCGTGGGGGAGGCGGCAGCAGC